CCCCAAAACCCCAAAACCCCAAAACCCCAAAACCCCAAAACCCCATAATTAGGCCAATTTGTTGATTCTTTATAATTATTATTCAGTTTCCATCATGTCGAAATTCGGATTAACATCATTGAGCAACAATTGCTGTTCTAAACTACTCCTTGATACCCATTACCATCCAAGGAGGTCTTTATTCACACTAGAGCTTTAATCCTGGTCCCTATAAACAAAGCTGATTAAAATGGGAATCTGGATTACACTGGTAACCCCTCTCATCCAACTCATCCTTAAGCTATTAACCCAGTTCGAAAATCTGCCTCGACTACCAAACCCGATTCAAGGTACGGAAGTGTGAACTACTACTCTCCAAGTTGGTGTCAATTACCATTTCAGTGTCAGAAATGGTGCACCGTTGCTCCGAATTCTATCAGGTTAGCAAAATAATCATGATTTGTTATATTATTATTTTTTAGAAATTTGGAGCAAATTTTAGAATTTTTCTAAAAGCTTCACAGATTTATCAAAGAATTTCAGGAGATTTAGCATGGTGCATTGGAACTTCCAGGGGCTTAGAAGTGTGAAGCAAAGGTTTTCTTGAGAACACTCCTTTTTCAATGCGGAGTAAAATTATCTATTATAAACATGACTTTACTTTGAGCTGGATCGTATTATTGAGTTAGCTTGAGCTAAAGAATAAATCTGAGCTAGATTTCAGACAAACTGTGAGATCACTTGAAAACTTGGACCATCAAATCTGAGTCTTTGAAGCGTGAGTCCTCTGTAGGAACCCTAGCCACGATTGAGAATAAATCTTATAGATAAAGCTTTATCATACCACTCTGTTTTTATCTCGTTTTATTGGTTTGAATAATAGCTCAATAAGTATCAGTAGTTAACAACAAAAAAGTGTTAAAAGGCATTGCTCACCTTAGAAATATAGTCAGAATTTAAGCTACCTAAGCCAGACAGTCTAAATTGCTCTTATTAGAGCTTTTGCTTGAAGCTAGAACCAAAGTCACAGTATTCTTCTCCAAATCGAGAGCCTATATCTCCCAATGATTCTTGTCAAAATGAACGAATCTCTTGCAAAATACTAAATTTGTTCTAAATCATCGATTTTCAATGAGGATTAATCTTGAGACAAATCTCTAGACAAGCATTGAGCTCTAAAAGTAGCCAAATTCAGACATTTTTGGAATTAACTTTGTAATTAACAAATAAAGTACCAGAAGATGGCCCTGGCTAGGCTCATTCTGTATACACTCGGTCGTAGGATTGAGGCTGACGAATAGTTACTCTGTATAGGTAAATATAGACTCTAAAAGCAATTTCACCAGTTTTTTAGAGCATCGATAATTTTGGTAGATAAGTTAGAAATAGTTTTAAAGTGTGAAATAGTTCAAGAGATTACATTAGACACGGGGTTTTGGGGTTTTGGGGTTTTGGGGTTTTGGGG